TAATTGATCCAATTTCAAAAGCTTTAACTTTTAACACACCTATCACTTATAAAAATTTAGAACAAACTTTATACGAAATGTATGAATTATATGCACAATGAATGGGTGCAAATATTAGTTGCACACCCTCTACACCTACTCCTTCGGCTAATCTTGAAGAAGAAGACACTGAAATACGAAATTTATTTGAAAGCATTAGCACGTATAGATATGATACAGTGGGTTCTTCTAGTATGTCTACCACATATCTTCGGACACAAGTTCAAATCAATTGCCTGCTAAATTAATTGATTACTTTAATCATCATATGCGTAGTACTAATTATTAGAAAATGTTCAAAAGAAATAATTGAATTCTGACGAAAGTACGAATGATGATGGCCAATGGTATTTGCGATTGCAAAATACTACGGACACTTACAGTTAGCACTGTAGTTTTGAAATCTGGTTTTAGTGCAGGTAAGAAGATTCTATCTGAGATCAGGAGCCTGATGTAAGAAGATGTTTTGGAAGCATTAATGTGTATAAAAGATTGGCAAGACGCTTATTTCTGAATACAAGATAAGTATGCTCAAATTGCGTGTCGTTAGGTAAATGATATTTAATTTAATCATATTAATAAAATTTGTTATTTCATAATATTATTATTAATTTTTTGAGAAAATTGTACACGTAACAAGTTGTTTATGTACAATTTTTAACTCCGGTTACTCGAAATTTAAGTAGTCAATCCCAAGGTCGAATAAATAATGAAGGCTTTAAAAAGGAAAAAAAATGAAAATCATTGAGCTCGTGGGTCGAGCTGGTAGGCTTGGCCATCATGATAAGCTCGGCTCATTCAAGACGAGCCTCGAGCTCGGCTCGTGGGCAATAGGGCCGAGCCGAGCCCCTACATGTAGTGTTGTTGCATATATAATAGTATCTCTTAAACAGAAATGAGAAACCTTTTTATTCTCAATGGTAATAATCTAGAAATTAGTTGGAGGCACTTAACAGTCAACTGTGTTAAACCATTTAATATCATTCTAACTACCCTTAACTTGAGAACAAAATGAATAATATTGATCATGTGTTAGTGATAAAGGTCTATAGAGCTCGGATAATTTTTCATCACAATCCTAGTATACATTATCTTTTTGTAGATAAATTATTGTAGTTTTACATAAACACAAGTCTAGTCAGATTAGTCTTACTTTATAATTGATAGCATTAGCATTGCTCATATGTAACATTATGTATATTGTCAACACAGGGAACAAATCTAGGTGGCTGAATTATTTAACTCTAATTGTTAATATTAACACCATGTTGGTCCATACTATTATGGGGTTTTGTTTGGATTGTGGAATTTTTGAACCGCTTTCATCCGTGGGACTTTTGCAGAATACATAAAATGCATTTATTGATGGTTTGGTTACAATATTGACACGTGAAATTTCAATGGAAATTGTTGCAGCGTGGGGTTTAGAATTTAATTTGTAATTATGGTCTTTTAAGTTACTTTTGTCTACTCACACAATTAATTTAGCAATAACCTGCTTTAACTTCTCATAAAAAAAAAGTATATTGTATCCTAACATATACCCGCAACTTCCATTTAGCTACACTTTAATTCTTTCTTTGTAAAAATAATTAACTAGCAAAATAATTGCTATCATTGTCTTTGATATGTGAAAAGACATCTAGATGTTTTAAACCTATCCAAGATGTCTTCAATTCAATAAGATTTTCACATTACAATGGCTCATATTCAATAAGATTTAAATCTATAACTTACCTTTTAATTTGTTATAAATTAATAAATCAATGAAATAGTGACCAATTATTTTAAAGCATGAAGAATAGAAGCATAATCTATACAGGAACAATTAAACTGCCGTTTGGCCCCCATTATTTGCCATTTTAATTTTTGGATTAGTGTTTTTCTTGAAGAATGTGTGGTTAAAAAAAATAATGATAATAAATTTGGATTTACGTATAACATTATTTTATTGGAGAATGTGTAGTTGATAAGAAGAGAAAGAAAAATGAATTATAATTTTAATGGGGGTCAAACAAGGGCTAAATACGAGAATCTTGAGAATTGAAATTAAAGGTTCAAAAATAGGTTATGTCATTCATCCCAACTATTTATTTACTTACGCATCATAATGGAAGAAAACTGTAAATGGGTTTTAGATTGCAATATGAGATTTTTAAAGCAAACAAGAGGAAAAAAGATTATCTTTTTGCACCATGAATCGCTTTTTTTTACGCCAAAAACTTAAAAATCTAGTTTTTTCTTTCTTTTCTCCCTTGTATCTTCTCTCTTTTCCGTTTGGTGTACTGTGTGTAACATTCCATTTATTCGACCTAGAATATGTTTTTATATAGTGCTCAAACCTCCTTGAGAGACATGGCATCAAAATGACCAAAATAACACTAGAATAAAAAATTGAAAAAACCTTAATTTTTCATGATCGGGCTGCTCTTTGCGCCAAATTGTGACATAAAGGGGGAAAATCCCCAAAATTGATCGGGCCGCAACATCCATAGGTCTATTTCGACGACAGTCCAACCCCTCGACTTTCATCATTTTGCAATTTCGTTCATGCTTCAAATTTTTTGTATGTTTTGGTCCTCCTTTAAAAAAAAAAAAAAAAAATTAAATCTTCATTATGATCCCCGTAACTTCTGAAAGCATCCACGTTGAATTTCACTCCCAAAACTTGTGACTTTCCTTCAATTGCTCTACTAATGCTTCTTATCAATATCATGAAATCCGATTAGTCTAGAATTGATTTGCACAAACTTCAATTAGACTCAACAACGTCTTCACTTTTGCTCCAAATATTGATAAACAAGGCCAACACACTAAAATACAACGACTATTTCTACAGGCATTCAATTCACGTGATTCCAAGTGCTATGGTCGGAGGCCTTGTAAGGATGTCAAATCCTACTGGGCTTGTTCAGAAACTTGAATAAATATCGTGTTGCGATCATTTGAAAATCAGACATAAATCTAAAAATTTCACATTTTAGCCTATAAGGACTTCTAACGTACTTTACCATGCAAGTACATGTCCATTTCAATTCATGCTACTTCAATTAACCTCATGCATAACCATACTTTTATTCATGTGTAATCCAAACAAAAATGCTAATATTTCATAATGAAAAGTAACACACTTAGAGATCGTTGAAAATATATTTCAATATTTTTTGTTCACTTAACTTTCATAAATTTAATCGATCTCTTAAACTTGAAAGTTGATGTTAAAATTTGAGATTTTGTTTGACTTGATTCCTTTCCTCCTCCTTGTTTCCATCACATCCAAGCCAGCCACCTTCATCCTCGACCTTTAATTTGTAAAAATTAAGGAGTGAGTATGTGAGTACAAGAATACTCAATAGTTTCGAAGAGCCCCTTTGCTTGTAGATACCGATTATGGCCATAAATAACCTTTCAGCTCATGAATTAATCTTTTGGCTCTCAGCTTTCAAAAAAATATATCACATTCATATAGAAGCATACATAAGTCGATGAGCAAATACGACGCATATCCTACTTGCTTCTTGAAATGGAAATGGTAGTTTTCCTTAATTGAACAACAAAAACTTGACTTTACATCCAATGCTACGACACTTTTGCTGTTCTTTCTTCTTTGAAAATAAATACCTAAAACTTGTAGAGACAAAAGAGAGAGGAGGCGGTTTTCGATAGGTGGAAGGGAAATTTATATAGTGTCATTTCCCCTTGTAAACTCCATCTCTTTTTCAATGACGCAATAAATAGAATGGTTATGAAGATTTAGTGAAAAATTAAATATAGCTTAATGGTGTGCTTATGTAAAAGATGAAGAGTTTTGTAACTCTTAAAGGTATAAAATAAAATATTTAAGAAAAATATCTGGATGGTGATTCTAACTTTGGTTGTTTTTGTGAATAACATGCAAATAACCATTATGTAATTAGCAATTACTTGTTGGATATTTGAAATAAAAATCACTTTAACTTAAAATAATTTAATCTTTTGGGTTTTTGACCAGCTAATGATTTGTACATTAAACCAACTTACTGAGCCTTCAAAGCTCGTCTCTTAAATAGGCCAAACCGAATAATAAACTTTTGGGACCTTACATCCCTTACATCTTAAAAGAATTTGGTCCTTAATATTAACTTGGCTTAGACAAATACTGTCAAATACTTGTTCTTGATTTTTGCTTCAGTTTTCCAAGTAGCTTTTTCCATTATGTGATACCACCGTTGCACCTTAACTAATGAAATCTCTTTAGTTCTCAACTTCAAGACTTTTCTATCCAAGATGGAAATTGAAATTTCTTTATAAGATAAGTCCTTTTGTACGACTCTAGGTCATATACATACTTTCTGATTATATATAAATGAAACTATTGTGCACTTTTGAAAGTTTGGCTAGTGTGTGTGTGTGTGTGTATATATATATATATATATATATAATTTAGTTCTCAACTTCAAGACTTTTCTATACAAGATGGAAATTGAAATTTCTCTATAAGATAAGTCTTTTTGTACATGACTCTAGGTCGTGTGTGTGTGTGTGTGTGTGTACACGAACATATTTTCCTTACGTAGCGTCTCGTGACAAATAGACAAATTCCTTCCGTCCACCATATTTTTCTGATCGGGGGCAGACCAAGGAGAGAAGTCCAGTGGGGCGAAACCAAAAAATCTTGGAAAAAAAAATCTAAAAACCAAAAAAAACTTGGAGAAAAACTGAAATCTGAAAATCAAGTAGGGGCGGCCAACCCCGTTGGGCCTCAAGTACGTCCTCCCACGCTTCTAATAGTGTTGTTAAAATATTGGAGGATCAAACGAAAAGGTTGAATGAAAAAAAATAAAAACACAAGAAAAGAATGATCAATTTGCGTTGTCTCTGTATTTTTGTATTTTTGAAACTTTGCATCAAATGTAATTCTTCATTCATAAATTGTGTATTTTCATGTTTTAGAGATTATTAATTATATAGACGAGTTGAAATTGATACAAGAACATAACATTAATACCCCAAATCTTTGAATCAAATTATACAAATTTCAAAAACCTAAACTCACATTTTTAAAAAAGTTCCTTTTCTTGTTCTTTCTCCGGATATCCTTGTATATTTTGTAATCCAGATTAAAGGTTGAATAATCAGCTAAAATTATTTGTTTAGAGTCCCTAAAGCAATTCAGATTCAACAAGAGGGAGCAAAAGAATGGTTGTACAACAACATTAAATTCCCAAATTAAGTCGATACGTATTTTTCTTCTTCCTTATTCTTCTTGCTATTTTTCTTCTTCCTTATTCTTCTTGCTACCAAAGTTTGATTCTTTTGGTGGTTCGTTCTTCGTCGTCCAAATATCTTCGTGAAGATTTTCGAAAAATGTCTCCTTCAATGGTTTCTTTCTGTAATCAAATAACATTGACCAAACATTGTACATCAGTATCAATTTGTTAAAAGAAGCCTGAAACTTATAGTTTGTTCAGGTTCCGTTATATATATTTTTCTTGTAACTTTCCAATTCTAATAATATTGGTCACTTTAGGTTTGAGGGATTATTTTATATCGTTACCTTTACAGTAAAAGTAATTCCAACTTGAATCTCTCCGCAATAAGTTAGGTTGGTATATACAACTCTGTATTTCCGAGGACGAAGTTTAGCCTTTCCTTTCTCCACTCCTAATTCTATAAGTTCTTTCACATAAATCCTGCATGTGGATTGTGATAAGTTATACCAAATTAATTAGAATAAGACTAGACGCAATTATATAAGAGATGTTTTGATAAATATCATATTGTCCTACTTTGCCTCGCCGAGATAATCATCTGCAGTGTACTTGTCGTGATCCATGACCTTGAGCACGAGTTTGTACTGCTCATCATTCTCTGGATAATCGACTATATATTTAAACTTCTCATTCCATATTGGGTTGCGACCTTGCCCTACATGATTATAGAAATTAAAATCTCATTAGTTATTTTATATTGGACTCTAAAAAGTATGTCATTTTTTTTTTTTTTTTGTGTGTTATTGTTGGAGCATTGTCAGAGCAAGTAAATTCTTTGAATGTGTTGACAAGTAGTGTATTTATGAAACTTGAAAAAACAAATTATTGTGCACTCGCGCGAGGAATGTTACCTTTTGCAATTCTGCTCTTGTACTCTTGATTTCTGTATTGAAGCAAAACGTATGGATCTATTTTACCTACAAAATAATGTATATGACATATTATCAGCTATTTAAAATCATATTGACCGGTCTCTTTTAAAGTTCTCATGGTATTAGGATTAGAATACGAATAAGTTGTAGAAAATAAATAATACTATAAAGGATCCACATTTGATACTTTGAAGCGTGTATAATTTCTCGTAATTAAAGAATCAAAATATTTTGTCAATTGTTTTATATGTCATGCAATAGACTACAATGTAAAGCATAATCACATTGACTGGCCATTATATGAGGAACTTTTGTGATATTAAACCTTTTATAGAGGGAAAGGGAAAAAAAAAAAAAAAAAAAAAAAGAGAGAGAGCGAGAGAGAAGAAAAAAAGGAAAAAGAAAGAAAGAACAAGAATGTAGTTTCATCAAGGAAACCAAGTTCAACAAGTTACATCGAAAAAAGCTCAATATGATTAAAGAAGAGTTAAGTTTTTGGATTGATTCATCCAATTCAATTGCATCGATGAGATGTTTTAGTCCTAAAAAAGACTCAATATGATTAAAGAAGAAAAATGTTGATTAAGGAAATCTTGTTAATAAATTATTTTTGGGTTCAATATGAGAAAAAGAACTCAAATCATTTAATAATGATTTTTCTCTTCTCAACATTCAAGAAATGCATGATTCATTGAACTCATCACAATACATCCGTATATTAGAATCACATACACAGAGCCACGCATACCTAGAAAATAAGACTGTTTGAGACCTTTAGCACGCACCAGCTTCACCTCCATTATTCCAATCGCCATCTCT